CTTAGAGCTGTATCAGAGCTCCAGGAGGTTTTTGTAGGATCTCTCCTGCGACGCACCTCTACGTAAGCAAAATCAATGTCGACCTCTGGCTTTTGGCATGTGCCCCTCTACTCCAGAGACCTCACCTGGAGCCCTGCGTCCAGCTCTGGAGCCCTCAGCACAAGAAGGACATGGACCTGTTGGAGCAGGGCCAGAGGAGGGCTACTAAAATGATCCGAGGGCTGGAGCCCCTCTCCTGTGAGGACAGAGTTGGGAGAGTTGGGGTTGCTCAGCCTGGAGAGAAGGCGGCTGCGGGGAGACCTGATTGTGGCCGTTCAGGGCTTAAAGGGGGCCTAGAGGAAAGATGGGGACAATCTTTTTAGCAAGGCCAGCTGTGACAGGACAAGAGGTGATGGCTTTAAACTAAACCAGGGTGGGTTTAGACTGGATATGAGGAAGAAATTCTTTGCGCTGAGGGTGGTGAAACCCTGGCAGGGGTTGCCCAGGGAGGGGGTGGAGGCCCCATCCCTGGGAACATTCCAGGCCAGGTTGGACGGGGCTGTGAGCAACCTGATGTGGTTCAAGGTGTCCCTGCTCCCTGCAGGGGGGTTGGACGAGATGACCTCTAGGGGTCCCTTCCAACCCAAAACATCCTATGATTCTATGAGAAAGGGGTTGAAGATAAAGCCACGTCTACACGCCCGGCTTCCAGAAAGCCTTTTGCACTCCACGAATGTCACCTGCGCCGTTTATCACACAGACAGCCTGGAGATGACTTGATTACAGCGCGTCATATCTTAAAGAGGAGAAAATACCAGGTATTAAAGGATCTTTAAAAGCAGAGGAAGGAGCTGTATTGCAAATCAATGGCTAGAAGCTGCAGTTGGAGACTCAAATTAGCACCAAAGCTCACGCTCTTAACGATAAGCAGGATTGAGCTCTGAAGAAAACCACCGTGGGAGGCAGAGGATTTGCCACTTGTGTCTTGATACCAAGAGTAGATATTTCTGGAAGAGACGCCGTACGCCAATGGATTTTTTTTTTTTTATTTTTTTTTTTTTTGCAGAGGCAACCAGCCGTCATTTAGCAATCAGGGAAACAAACTGTGACCCAGCAGCATCTCCTCGTCGCGTTGAGGGTCGGTGCTGAATCCAGTCAAAATTTAAGTGGGCTTGGAGAGAAAAAGGTAAATCCCTGCTTTTAAAGACTGGGCGTGCTGTAAGGAGCGCTCTTTTTGGCCATTTTGGCTGGGGGCCGGCTGCTCCTGCTCCACGCAGGTGGCCCCGCATCTGGGGGGAGGAAGCTTTCTAGATTCCCAAGGTGGCCCCGGGGGCTTGCTTCTTGTCCACTGTAGCATTGAGCATGGCCCCTTGTGAGGGCTCTTCTGGGCCCTTGCGGCTCGCTCCTTGCCCCAACCTCCAAGGCACCACGCGTGCCCTGGCTCTCTCTGCCTCTCTTGCCCCCTTGGCTCCACCTCCCCAGGGGTTCTTGCCTGTACAAACCAACAGCCTGAGCTTGGAAGGGCTCCAGGCTTGCTGCACCACCAGCAGCTGCCACTTCTCAGCTCGCCCTGCATGCCACACCAGCGCGGGGCAGGCACCAGGGTGCTTTTTGGCCATCACTGGCCAAGATGCACAGCCCAGCAAGTTTTGGAAGGCCAAGAGCCTGCTTGTCATCTCTAGCTGTCCTACTTTGGAAAATACCCCATGGTACCAGCCTGGAGAAGATGAGGCTGTGGGGTGACCTGATTGTGGCTGTTCAGTGCTGAAAGGGGGCCTAGAGGAAAGATGGGGACAATCTTTAGCAAGGCCAGCTGTGACAGGCCAAGGGGTGATGGCTTTAAACTAAAGGAGGGGAGATTTAGACTGGATCTAAGGAAGAAATTCTTTACAATGAGGTGGTGAAACCCTGGCAGGGGTTGCCCAGAGAGGGGGTGGAGGCCCCATCCCTGGGAACATTCCAGGCCAGGTTGGAGGGGGCTGTGAGCAACCTGATGTGGTTCAAGGTGTCCCTGCTCCTGCAGGGGGGTTGGATGAGATGAACTCTAGGGGTCCCTTTCAACCCAAAATATTCTATGATTCTATGATTCTGTCACACACCCATTCTTCTTCTTCTACTTCTTCTTGAGCTTGTTTGGAGGTTCTAGCAGGGGCACGCAGCTACCGTATGCCTGTATTGGAGTCTCCTTCTCTGGAGATATTCAACCTCCGCCTGAACGCTGTCCTGTGCACCCTGCTCTGGGTGACCCTGCTTGAGCAAGGGGGTTGGACTGGGTGATCTTCGGAGGCCCCTTCCATCCCCTGCCATGCTGGGATTCTGTGATGAACAATTTTTTCCTTTGACCTTCAAAAAAAATGGAGCTCCAGCTGAAACACCCGGCAGGTCATTCTGGAGGACTGACCAAGGGTAGTAACGCAGTGTTACCTGCTTGTAAATCCAAAAGGAGAATTTTGCTCATGAGGTTAACGATAAGTAAGCTGGGAGGAAGAACACTTGATTTTTTGCAGTCGTTAATATGGCAGATACATCAGTTGGTTTTAATTATCCTTGGGAAAAGTGAAATCAGCTTATAATAAGTGGGACCATATGGTCCTTCCTTGTCCTGTAAGTACACTTAATTAAATCCCATTAAAGTTATCAACAAACAATCACAGTTTTAACACAAACTTGGAAAGGGAACATGAATTCGCATTCACTCTCTGACTCAAGACCCAGCAGCCGGTTTCCGTTTGCGCCGTGAATATTTCACAGACACTTAAATACAGCGCAGCATGCGGGACGAACCCATGTTCAGGCTTGAAGTGTTTCCTTGAGACACGTTATCCGGATGGAGACCTGGTGAGGAGTGGTGTCCCTCACGGGTCCGTACTGGGACCGGTGCTGTTTAATATTTTCATCAATGACCTAGACAATGAGATCGAGCGCACCCTCAGCAAGTTTGCAGATGACACCATGCTGAGTGGCGTGGTCAACATGCCAGCAGGACAGGATGTCATCCAAAGAGACCTGGCCACGCTGCAGAGGTGGGGTCACGTGTGAACCTCATGAGGTTCACCAAGGAGAAATGCAAGGTCCTGCACCGGGGTCGGGGCAACCCCATGAATCAATCCAGGCTGGGGGAAGAAAGGATGGAGAGCAGCCCTGCCCAGAGGGACTTGGGGGCACTGACAGATGAAAAGCTGGACATGAGCCAGCCATGGGCACTGACAGCCCAGAAGGTCCAACCCTACCCTGGGCTCCATCAGGAGAAGCGTGGCCAGCGTCGAGGGAGGGGATTCTGCCCGTCTGCTCTGCTCTGGGGAGACCTCCCCTGGAGCCCTGCGTCTAGCTCTGGAGCCCTCAGCACAAGGAGGACATGGAGCTGTTGGAGCGGGGCCAGAGGAGGCCACAGAAATTATTTGATAAGGGCTGGAGCCCCTCTGCTATGAGGACAGAGTTGGGAGAGTTGGGGATGTTCAACCTGGAGAGGAGAAGGCTGCGGGCAGACCTGATTGCGGCCGTTCAGTGCTGAAAGGGGGCCCGAAGGGAAGACGGGGAAGATCTTTTTAGTAGGGCCAGCTGTGACAGGCCAAGGGGTGATGGATTTAAACTAAAGGGGGGGAGATCTAGACTGGATCTAAGGAAGAAATTCTTTACGCTGAGGGTGGTGAAACCCTGGCAGGGGTTGCCTGTAGATGTTCTTCCTGGGAATAAAACCGAAGCCAACCAGCTATTTAATACGGAACATAATTCAACTTCTCAGTCTGTAAGAGTGCTTCCTTCCCAGGTAGCAGATAGACCAAAGGTTTTTAGGCCAATAAGAGGCTAAAATTGCTCAGGGTCACATTTCTGGTCATCGTTCGCACGGGGATCCAAACTATATTGTGTTGCTACAACGCCCAATATTAAAGAGATGAAAGCTCAGATGTCAAATATTTTGATAAAAACCAGCTAAGGGTTTAAAACTGGGGGGATATTAACAATCCAACGAGCTTTCATCCATCATTCAAGCCATCGTTTGTAGAAAACCGTTTTATAAGTACGAGCCTACAGAGCTGAAGCTCCCTTCGAAATTTCTCATTTCGCTCAGGTTTCACAACTTTTTTTCCATTCAAAAAACCTCCAAAACGTTCCAGGTTGCTGTGCCTTCTAAAGAGGCGGCCACCCCTGACACCACGTAGCAGCGCTGCGGGTGGTTAACCTGCCATGTCTACGGTCGTTGCCCAAAGTCAATGAAAATTGACGCCTGCCCCAAAATTCTTGCTGTTTCCACGCGGCATGAATATTCATGGCGCAGCTGATTTTTTTTTGGCTTGTGGGGAATCTCGACTCTGGTAATTATGCCAGAGACTCTCTGTATGATGAAAGATTAATTAGATTTTTCTATGACTTCATTTGATGTTTTTACTTTTTTTTTTTTTAAAAAAAAAAAGCGCTTTGATAAGAAAATATAGTTGTTAAAGTCGATCATGTGGGGAAAAGTCATCATTATTCACAGCTACCACGCACTGTTCAACCCCAAAGCCTTTACGGAGGAGCTCTAAGCCTTTAAAATCATTTATAGTGCATTGAAGTGGCGTGGACTCCAGTAAACAAAGTTAATACGGCAGAGGTAAGAATTAATTTAGACAGTGAAAATGTCAGGAAGGCGGCAAACCCTCAGCAAAGTTCAATTGGTTCCCCTTGCAAAAGAACAGACCCTGCTACGGGAGCAACCTAACGCTTTTGTTAGCGTTATGGAAGAAAACCCAACCCCCCAAAAATACAAAAAAATCAGTGTCATTATTTAATGAAGAGCCCTGGGCTTTTAAATATTGACAGTGCAAGTTCAGAAATGAAATTAAAAATGTATTTTGCAGAAGGCAGGAGGGGGAGGAAAAGGAGGAAAGCGTTCAAAGGGCCTTTCACTCGCAAATTCAGCAACAGCCCGAATCATTAAGTAAAGAACAAGGCCCACATTCCTCATCAACTTCACTTATACCCCTCTTTTGTTTCGGAGGACGAGGATGAGCTCAGAGGACCACAAGAATACAAGACGAGATGACTGGATGACCTCTAAAAGTCCCTTCCAACCCCAAACATTCTATGATTCTATAAGATCTTTCAATATTGACCGCTACCTGAGAGACCATCGATCCAACGCCTACAAACATCTGACCTGAAGCCCCAGCATGAAGTTTAGTGAATTGGGTAAAAATTTGTAGCTGTTGACAGCAGGACACGTCATCCCTCAAGTCTTGACATAGAAGCACCTGGGTTTGTTGGGAATTTGTTTTCAAAAGCAAGTTTGGCCTTAGATGCAGGACCTCAGCCAGACCCGATGGCTATTCCTGTCCCACCTGCCGGGCCTTCAATCCCTCGGTATGAAAAGCTAATTAAAATAATCAAGCTGGTGATATCCAGAAACCACAATATGGAAAAGCCCTTCCCAACAGCACTTTTAATCCCAGTTTTAAACCTAACTTCACCGAAACCCTAGGATGGGCAAACCACCTTGCTACCAGAAATAAAGCAAGACATCTATGGAAGTCGGATTTGTCTAATTAACCTAATAATAAGCAAATCGCTGCCTTATTACTGTGAAGCTGCCACTTTGAAATGTCTCTTTTTTTTAAATAAAGGAATTTTTTTTTGTGCTTCCGGGTTTCTGCTAAACTTAAGAGCAGTTTAGTTTCATGTAATGGAAGCAAAAGGGGGCTTTGCCCTGCAGTGGTGTGCTGGGAGGATGCGCTGAGTGGGCATTTTCTGTGCATGTGAGAAAGCTGATTAATTTATAAAAAAAAAAAAAAACCAAACCCCACTCTTTTCAATCCTTCCCTGCTGCAGTTCACTTCAGGACAGGGCATTTTCATACAGCATAAGATGCTTCATATCCAAACGGCGCTCAGCAGCAAAAAAACCCCCAACCAAACCCCTGTGATCTACTGAAATAAAAAGATGATCTGTGAGAGTGGGTGGGTGTAGCGGGAAGGAGGTTTGGGATGCTCAACGTTGCTTTTACAGCAATTTTTTACGGAAACAACAAATAATTTTCCGGATTATCCACAGGACTTTTCCATCGGTTTGGCCACTTCATTTCTTTGGGCTATACTGTCAAGTAGGATTAAGATCCAGGCTGTTAGTATGGCCTCTGCCCAAACTAGACTTAAACCATCGAATCTTTGTAAGACACAGAGGAAAAAAAAAAAACAAACCAAACACCCAGGAAAATACAGATTCTGCTCACACACGCTTGTGCCAGTGTCTCAAAGCTGCTCAGAAGCCAACGCCGCATTTTTTGAGCGAGCAACACACAAGAGACGGGATCTAGCACTTGCTACGCCTGCCCTAGTTTTCATTCCCTTTACGTTCCGTGGCTGCGAACAACGTGAAAAGGTTTTTGACACCGAGGTGTTCTCCATCAACCAGCGAGCAGAGTCCTTTACTCCATCGTCTCGAGGCAGAACATCTCTCCCTCCTCACAAGAGTGACTTTAAAATCTGCACCCGCTGAGAAAACTAAATGCGAGGGGTGATTGCCCATGCTCTACAAGCAAGAGCTACCGTCCTCCTCCTCGCTGTAGTTGTCTTGGATGAGTTGTCAAGCAATAAGATGGAAACGCCAAGTAAAACCCTTAAAAGGAGCCAGATTTTTGGAAATATTCTTCTGGGGGAAGAAAGGATGGAGAGCAGCCCTGCCGAGAGGGACTTGGGGGCACTGATGGGTGAAAAGCTTGATGGGAGCCGGCCATGGGCTCTCTGTGAACAAATATGAATGAACTGAGTCTTGAGCTCTTGAAAGAGGTGCTGGGTGATAAGCAGGTAATGAGCTTCTGATTTATTATAGCCAAGAGAAGTTGATGGGGAGAGTTGCTGCCATTTGCTCTTTTCGTTGAGATCTGGAGAGAGCTATAAGGGCTCAACGAGACAGCAGTACAGAAATGTTGAGATTTTATAAAGACAATAAAAATGGGGCCTTTACTAAAGTCCAGAGAACTGGAATGAAGGGGTTTTTTACTGAACATTTAGGAAATGTAGAGGAAGTACAGAAGTAACTTTGCTTTTCTTTTTGCGTAGAAATTCATTCAAGACCGGGTTGGATGGGGCTGTGAGCAACCTGATGTGGTTGGAGATGTCCCTGCTCCCTGCAGGGGGGTTGGACGACATGACCTCTAGGGGTCCCTTCCAACCCAAACCATTCCATGATTCTATGAAATAGATGATAGACAGTGTAAGCATTCAGAAAAGGGCTGTAAGTGCCATCAAATAACGTATGTCAAGAAATAAAACCTGGTCTGGGATAAGTATTGCTCCTGTAAAGGTGTTGGATTTGTTTTGTTTTTTTTTTTAAAGCCTTTCTTTTAATTGATATTTGCAATAAAAAATTTCGTAGTTTATGGAACTTACCTCTCCTTATTAAAAAAAAAAAATAAGTGCAGTGGCATAGTGTTAAAAATAGAATAACCTTCAGCATCAGCACGAACGCCTCCTGCATACAAATCGAGTCAGGAGAGACAGATTAAAAAATGGTTTGTGTGTACTTCATTTACCAGGAATCTCTTCCTACAGCTACGGCCTATGCAAGGGCCATAAATTTTCTTTTAAACTCATTTCCTTTGGAGGGAAACTTCATGTTTACCATCTTAAAAAATAAAAAAACAACCCCCCGTGCACTGCTCATTATTATTTTTTTTACCCACCACGATTTGATGCGGATCATTATTAACCCTGGATTAACGAAGGCTCAGGATTGTATCACGTCACCCAGTAAATCTGCTACGTCAGCGAGAGTATTTATGAATTCCTACGCAAGGTATAACGAAGACGATTCAAACCAGGGACGACTTCAGTGTTCTGGGTGATGTCCTAGGGTCACTGAGCGTCTTATTTTAAATAAATCTTGTTTTAAACCAACAAATTTTATTTTAAACAAGTTTTATTTTAAACAAATTTTATTTTAAACTAATTTTATTTTAAACAAGTTTTATTTTAAACAAATTTTATTTTAAACTAATTTTATTTTAAACAAATCTTATTTTAAACAAATTTTATTTTAAACAAATCTTATTTTAAACAAATTTTATTTTAAACAAATCTTATTTTAAACAAATTTTATTTTAAACAAATCTTATTTTAAACA